ACCTTTGTCAAGGTCGGCCATGGAGGATCTGCCATCTCGTCGGTTGTTGAGTGCTCTTTGAGTATGAAATCATGTTAGCTTTGGATTCAATTTTTGCTCATGATTTATTCCAGTAACTTGCGTTCGGTAAACATGGTTAGGTGGGATTTTTACTAATAAGGCGGCGGTTGCCTCACGCAATTAGCTATTCAAGATTTGTTGGATTACGTACCTCACAGAGAATTGTGTGATTGCCATAGCTCCAGTTCATCGAGTAGTACTCGACATGCCCATGTACATTCATGATTTTCTTGGTCATTTTATCTCCCTTGGTCCATTGTCTCAGCCCAAAACTTTCCTTTGCACAATTTTTTTTAAGTGATTTAGTGCGGTGATTCCATTTATGTGGCATCGATTTACCTCACAATTTTGATGGATCGAATCATAAATATTAACTGATTCCATTTAGGTGGCATCAATTTATCTCACAATTTTTATGGAGCAAATCATGATTATTAATGCCAATAGCAAACCTTGCTGTGCAAGCATAAGGGCCCTACGACCTACAGCGTGGGTGTACATGGACATGGGAGCCAGCATGAGCATGAGCATAGGCGAGAGGTGGGAGAGGATATAGAAAAATGAGAAGCTCTGCTCCAGTCTCTGCTATAATTTCTATTGGACTCTCCAATTATATTTCATGGAATGCCCATCACCGATCAACTTCCTTGCCTCATTTCATTATCACTAATATATTGAAGGTTTGGATAAAGCAGATGGTAACATTAAGTTTTGTTGTACTCACAGATTATTCCAAAGAAGAATCGAACTTTTGTTTTTATGAGATACAAGGACGTTATCACCAACAACTCTCATGCTGCTTCTCGGTGATATGCAGTGATGACATGCCCATAGCGTGTTGTTGTTATTCTTGGACAATAGAAATAGTCAACAGGTAACATTACAGTATGCTCATTGCATAACATAAAAAAAAAATACATAGGCAGGTTATGCTTTCCTATTGAAATTATTATTGTTCTTTATTTTTCTTGTGCTCATGTTTATAGACTTCTCGATTTCCTTTGGTTGTGCACATGTCAACTTGGTCACTATCTATTAATTGCAATGGACCCGCCATCATTCCTTTCGAGTTAGAACCGACTTGATTAAAAGTGGATGCAAAACTGTTCGGAGAGTAATTGATGAATTCATAAGAGCAATAGGCTTTGACCCGTCGAGGGACAAATCTTGGTCTGCATTGGACAAAACACAAAGTTAAAGAAGGATCCGCCAATTAACATTGGTATCTTTCCTTCGATTGTTTTTGGTGTTTGGTGTTTGAAAAGGTTCAAAATTCAAAGAAGTGCGGTGTTTTACGCAAGTTGTTTACTCAAATTTCGTTTTGATTACTTGAATTTGGTGAAGAGTATCCCTAGAGAAGAGATATATGGGTTTTGATGAACTTTTTGCCTATTTGTTTTGATATTTGTAGAAAGAAAGCTTAGAAATACAATAATGTAGCACATAAAAATGGACCCGGGGCCAATAAATAGTTCCAAACATACAATTTTAGTGTTCTTCCAAATTAGCTCTGGCCAAAAATTACCGCATACATCCAACATGATCTAGAATGTCAAACCTCGCTTCCATACATCCAAAGCACCAATTGAATACTCAATGTTATAATGCCTTGAAAAGAACAAATAGTGACATTTTTTGCACTTTTATATTTTCCCTCTATTTATTTTTCCGTGACTCTCATTATGTTATTTACCATAGCCATGTCTATGGTTTGCTAAAAGTAGTTACATTTTTAACATATCGATGGGCACGCATGACATATTTTTGCAACGAGCTATTCTAGCTTCTCTGCATGATCTCATTATCTCGATCCTCTTTTCTAGGGGAGTCGAGAATTTGATGAGAGAATAAAACTCGATCAGTTCATATGAATAGCAATTATTCATGGTGTATTTTTGTCAATAGTTAATTTTCATTATTGGTGGCATCGATTGTTAAGAGACATTTGCAAGTTCTCTTATTTTTCTTATTCTTAAATGTTGGTATTAGTGAGAATGTAATTTCAGCAATTAATCCATACGAAGACTTTGACCAACTAAAAGTTCTTGTACTCGATAGTGATTATTATCCTCTGCATATTTGTTTCTATTATATACGAAACTCGGAAGAAGCTATATGTAATGCTTGGAAAGGATCTCTGTTCGAGACAATTTTGCCAACTAATAGGTAATTTCCTTTATGGTCATCGCATAAGATTGTTGTTGCGTATAAGTTGCATTGCATCAATGAGGTTATGATAAAAATATTATCACTGTTGGAGTCTAATATGATTATTACTCCAATGCTTAGACTGCGCTCTATCACAAACTAATGATTTATGCAATGCAGGAGTGAACAATATATCACTTGAGAGCGTGCTTTCATTTTTCCTGTCAAAGACTAGGAAAACTCTAATTCTATTCAAATGCTAAAGAAGTGAATCATCATTGCACGGATCGCTTGGATCACTCGGCCTCAAGGTGTAAGCTGCTGAAGGTAAAATACATGCTTCACATCTATTTTTTAGTTAGTTCCTTTATTTTAGATCGTCGCTCAAATCTGAAATTGGTTATTTAGAGACTTCCATGCAACCTATCACACTAAAAAAAATATGCTACGTATTCTCCTTTGAATTCTTTCAGTCAACCACCAAACAGGTTTCACAAAATGATTTAGCCTGCTGATGATGCTCTATTTTTTTTAAACTAACCATAGTGGAATGCTATATTAAAATGATGAGGCTTCTAATTTTGGTCTCTGCTCAAGTAGCACAATTCATGTAGACATAGGCCAAACATTTTCGTATGTATATCATACCTGTCATTGTTGGCTTTCATAGCCTTAATCTTATTATATCAACAAAGAACGTTCTGAATAAGGAAGGTTCTTTGCGCTATAAGAAAAATAGCTTTTCCTTTTTAACAAAAGAAACATCCATCCTAACATTTTTATGTACCCCATCCAAATGAGTCTTCACAATTTTGTCTTTGCGCCTAAGGCAAAGTATAATATTTTTAGGCTAGGTTCAAAAACATTTGTTGAAGTGGCTTCCCAGCGAAGTTGCTTCTCATCTTTAACTACTAAGACAGATCTTTGTACACACACATGAGTGGGGACCAAAACAATAAAAAACAGGTCATGAGGGGAGCCAAAACAACAAAAAAAAACAAAGTTACGAGGATAGCGGCGACTTAGAGTTGATTCCTACTTAGAGTTGTACATCGATTCTTTTTTGTAAGATTGACTCTATAGAGAAACATTTGATATCCCTTTCATGCTACGATCAATGTTCCTATTAGTTCGGGCAAGGTAAATGTTGCTATTAGTTTGATTAATAAGTTTTGAGTTCATTCTTATTTTTTGCGTTGGGGTGTCTGGGTTTCATGGCCATGTTAGGCGCTTCCGTCTTTTAGGTAAGAAGAACAGCAATATTAGTCAAATCCTTTGATTTGGTTGCAACCTGGTTTCTTTTCCTTCTTGCCGTGACTAATCGTGACTAAGAGGTTTGAACCTCCGCCTACCGCTTTTTTTTTTTTGTGTTTTGTACTTACAGTTTGGTTCAAACTTTCAAAAACTACGTTCAATAACTAAATAGAAGTAAAATAGTCGAGTAATTGTGATGCAGTTGGAATGGTGCATCGAATGCTTAAAATTGTGAAGGTCACTTTCATGCAATAGTGAATACTCTATTATGTTTTTTGAGTGTCGGTGTTTCAATATTTTTGTGTGTCGGTACAAATTACGCTTTATTACTATTAGATTGCCTATACTCGGTTTCACTATTCTCTACATCATCGTGATTGCATCAAACCGGTTTTCTTGATTAGCGACTAGAACAAGTATTCGGTGAGTAGGTTGAGGAAAAAATGGAAGGAGCTATCTCGGCATGTTAGTTTTTCAAGATTACTTTTGATCTCTAATTCTTTATGTACATAAGTAAATAGTTTAGTAATTGGCATCTCGGTTTTGTCAGTATGGTAGCTTTTGCAAATTGTAACTGTATGATTTTTTAAATATCAAATTTAGATGGACCTCATCACGTGAACTTGAACATCAGCGTGACCATAACAATGTATTTTCCATTAATGTTGATTATTCTATCTTTCATTTCATTTGTATCTCTTTTAGTCAAATGAGTATTTACTTATTTTTTGCAAGATTTTCTCTCTGCTGCACATGTAAAGCTGATGGTGGAATTGTTGCTACACGTGAGGAGGTCGCATATTTGATTAGATCTGGTTGTCGATTGTTGTAATTTCATTCACTCTTTATTGTTTTATTTTTCGGTAAAATCTGGGTGTAATTGCCTTCCTTTATCTACCAGATTTTGCTCTGCTTTCAGGAAACTAGGCGTCATGTAATGATTGGATATAAATCTGATTAATGGATTGAAAAAAATTTATCTGGAAGATATGTAGTGGCTCCCTGATACTGCTGCACGGGCGCGCGAAGGCGCGCGCCCTGATACTAGTACCTATACAAGCCCGCGGTGGTTTCCCGAAGGAACCACCGTCCACGTCGCCCGAAATATTTTTGTCCGTTCGATCCACGATCGTGTGGCCCAGATTTGTTGAATCGGATTCTTCCTGGATCACCTTCCTGTGCTTTTCGTTTGCTTCTGCCGCTTCTCCTCTGCTTCTCCCACTTCTCATCAGAATCGAGAGAAACACGTATATACCTCAGCTTCCGCTTCTACTTCAACCCCCCAAAAAAAACCTCTCTCCCGTCCTCTCCCGAAGCAGCGGCGACCAGGGCCACGGCGCGCCGACGGCGGCGCCCGCCGGTCCTCGGGCCAGCAGACACCGCCCTCCTCCCTCCTCCTTCCTCCCTCTCCCCTGCACTCTCCCTCTCTTCCGACGTGGTAGCGTGCCAGCCAGCCCCAGCGAAGCCGGATGGCCGCGCGGCGCGCTGCCGGGGCGACGGCTCCCCGGCCTGCGGCGTAGCAACGCGCGTGGGCCCCGATGGTGGCCATCGCCACGGAGTGCCGCGACCCCGCGCACGCCGGTGTCCACCGGCGCGGCTTCCCCAGCGCTGCCTCCTCCCTCCGGTAAGAAACCCTAGCTGCCTCTTCGGCGTCGGCGGCCAAGCTCCCCACAGCGAACAGCAGCAGCCACGCGCTATGAAAACCTAGCTGATGGGGGCTCCACTGGTCACCGATTCCCAAACCCCAATTTTTAGGACCCTGCAGTTATTGTTTCCTTTCCCTTTATCAAGATTTCCCGTATATATTCATGTCCACCAAAATTTGGGTCGTGCATTATGGAAAGATAAGAGATGATTAGTGTTGTAGTTGGGATTTCGAAAAGCAAACCTATTTTTCAGTGAGCTTGATACTTGATTCAAGCCATTTCTCAATTTGTCCTGCCTACCAAGGTACAGCTTTTACCTACAATTTGATAGTTCTCTAATGACAAATAAAGGCGAGCACTGCAAGATATATGACCATGGATGTAATTTTCCTATTTTTTCCTTATTGGTACATGCTTTGCTTTTCGACATAATGATTAGCGGCTCCATGTACATCATACGTCCTTAGCTTTTAGTCTCCAGAAAAGATACCTGCTCGTATGTTCAAACAATATAGATCGATGCATTGGTATGAAATGTTCAGAGATGGATACTTTGCTATGAACTGTTCGGTGGACACATTTTCAAATAGCACTGAATTGCTCCATCTTGTAGGGTCCATTTTTCAGAGGAGTGTAGGTTGTGCAAGGTTTCTCATAGATTTGTGTTATGATCTTCGAGGACATGCTTCAACTCATTTGCTAAGCCATCCTTGATTGTCATTTATGACAGTTTGGTGTCTTTTGTCTTCTTTAAGAATAAGAGGTTGCTATGCTCTTTCTTTTTCCCTGCCAGTGCAAATTTATGGCTATGTACTAAAGTCATGGTACATGTTATTCAAGGTCGATGATTAGTGGGTTCCTACCTTTTTTTTGCCAACAAATAATTGTATAGCATGTTGAGTGATTGTGGGTTGTAAAAAAGAAAATGTTGTTTTGTGTTTCCATTTCATCAAGTGTAAAAAAAGGCATTAGCATTCTTTTGTGTTAGGTTCCGTTTGTTAAACATGTTGACATTAGCATTCTTTTTTGTTAGGTTCATGTTTAACGAGTCAGAGAAAACTGTGTCGATTCAACTGAGCGCGCCTTCCTTACAGATTTGTTATAGCACTACCCACCACATTTTTTTCCATCAATTTATCTATTTCGTTTGCTCATCTAATGCTGACTGCTCTCTTATCTGTGCACTCTATAATCATAACTGACCATTTTTACTTTTTCCCTTTTTTTGATATATAAACCGAATCCAACTATATATGTTTTCGTGCAGGACCTCAGCAGCCATGCACAAGAGTGTTGAATTATACAGGACAACAGGATTACAGCACGCTGCGCCTGTTGAGCTTTTGTGGTGCTGATGTTTTTCTGCTAGCCTTTTCTCTTATCGGTAAAGCAAGGTACGACAATATCTCTAAGAAGGCAATAATATTGCCCTGCTCACTTTCCTTGCGTCCTCATTTAATGCATTCTTATTTATTTCACCTTCTTCACTTGCGTTTCTTGGATATCACCTGTGCGTCTTGTTTTTTTTCCCCCCAGTGGGTTCCTCAATTAAGGCGCTATGCTCCTGCCGTGCCCATAATCCTTGCTGGGACAAAACTGGGTATGCTCTTCAGTCTTCACCTCTATCTGCAACATATTATGTTGGGGCTAATTATCTGAAATACACATGTGGAGTCTTGTACCACACAAACTGAATGATCCTCACATGTACTGTGAAATTTTGTCTCACCACCTCCTTATAATTTAAGCAATCTCAAATCGTTGTTCTTTTACTGCACATGTTGTTCATGTCAAGCCAATTGATGGCAATGTACCGTACACATATTCTCATCATGGTTTCAAATAATTAGGCCACATTACAGCAGACCTGGTACTTAAAATATGTGGTGTCAACGTATGGGTGATTTCTATTTGCTCTTCATTTTCATCGTTTGCAAAACTAAATCTCATACTGCTTTATGCTACCTATTAGTTAGTACCTGTTCCATCCTTATATTCTGTGATTCCCATGCCTTTTTACCTAGCTTCATATTTTCCTTCCACAGATTGTAATACTGCAGGTGCCATATATTTGGTTTCGTAAACACTCTCGCTGCACGCTTAGATCTATTCTGCATGGTACATGTTAGTAAAAGACGATGTCGTTAAGGATATCCATGCGTCACGAGAAAATTTGCAACTGTCAATAACTTTGAAAGTTTTGATAAGTTCCAGGTGTGGTATGATGCTGCACACAAATGCAGTATCCTCACGCCATTGCTTCGTAGACCTGGTGTTGTGCGTTCTTAAAAGTGGTATTTTCATATGTTACTTTGATTTCGAACACGCCCACAATGAATGGGCCTTCAGATGTGCAACGCCATGTCCTTATCTACATTTTTTTTAATTTTGCTTCATTTCTTAATCCTGCTCCCATTTGATTTGCCCACATTTTTTCTGGCTACGGGTGAATGAACCTGAGCTCTGATCTTTGCCTTTCTGATTTTATCATTGGATCAGGATTTTTTTTCTTGTGCTCATGTTCATGCTGTACTATTTCAGTTCCTCTGCTTCCTAATATTTTTCTTCTTTTCTCTTGGTAAATGCACTTCTCAAATTCCTTTTTTTTGTGCAAGGTACAAACTTAAACGAATCTAGGTTCCTGTGTTCAAATTGACCTGTGCTCAGAAAAACTGGGGCTAAAGGTGTGATGAATTGAGGTTACCAGTTCTTAGTTACAACACAGGTCACCATCTTACCTCATTTTTCTAGAAATTGTGCTTTTGGGTTCAGCAAGTTGAAAAAGCTTAGGATTGATGTTAGTTAACTGAAATTTGTTATGCAGAGAAAGCAGCATGCTTCCTTTTGTTTCTACACCTCACTCATGAAGGCATGCAGGTAATTGTTTTTTCATGTCTATGTATGATTGCAGGAAAGGGCTACAGTGTACATGCTCCTCACAATATTGAAGTCCTTTTATGCTCTCAGCAATTTAACTGTCTCTTATCTGCTGCTAATTCCGGGTCAGTTCTATGTGTAGGCGATTGAAGAAGTCTTTTCTCCTTACTTTAGCTCCAAGAATATTATCTGAAAGGTACCGAATGTACTCTTTCATTACAATCAGGGGATTTCATAGCATATTCACTCTTTCCATCGTCGAGGACTACAAGTAATGGTCCATATCAATTGACATTAAGAGATAAAACAGTGTGCATCCAAAAAATAATATTTGTAAACATGCAGAGGCAAACGGTTTTCATACAACACTGTTTATTTTTCCCACAGCATGTTGTTACATTTAGTTCTGCAAGAGTGTTGATATATTTGGCTGAATATATTATCTTACGTACCATTAGTTTGTGATAAAAAGTTATATGCTTCTTGTGATTGCTTTTCATGCGATGCTAACTAATTTAATTTAGCTAAATCAGTCTTCATCTATTGCAGTGGTGCATGTACAATGATTAATACTACAATGATTTTTGTCATCCTACCCTGTACTCCTGGAGGTAATGGTCCTTTCATTAACTTGTGATGTTTCATACGTCAGTTCTCTCCTGTCTCCTACTACAATACACCTTTCTCCAATTATAAAAATGATGATAGGCTTCAAATCATGTATTTGTTTACTTTATGGAAACGGAAGAATAGAAGTCTATGGAACTTATCAATTTGAACATGCTCGTGCGCAGTTGGTCCGGTGTTAAGTTTGATTAGTAACAGCTCCTTTTTATTTATTCTCTGTATATTCAGATTGCTCCTTGGATTAGCATATAGAGCATTGATAAGGTTTCATATGGGTGTCTTTGCTTTTTCAGGCATCAAACTGTACCATTTGTAGATCTTTTTGCAGCACCTGCACAGGTTGTTCCAGTTCCAGCAACCAGTTCCATGCAGCCAGCAAGTTCACTTGGTACTCCACAGAGTACACAGCCTGAACCACAGGCTATATCCATTGACTCTGGAACTTCATCGGTATGTTATATTGCCTCTCCTTAATTATTCATGCTTCGTTACATAGCTCTACACCTGCATAAACCTATTTTCTCATTTCGTATACAGGCACCTACTCCAGCAGCTGACCCAAATGATACACCTCTAAAGGATCTCATCACCAAGTTAGTCGCATTGGCATATGAAAATTACTCAACAAAAAAAAACTTTGTTTACCTTTTCAATTGTTTCCATAAAAAAAATTCTTTCCGTATGATTTAGATCACCAACAGCACGCTCGCAGGAAACTGTTTGGAAAAGACACTATCGCTGAAAGGTGGGTTCGTACATATCTACTGCCCTGAACCTCAAAACTTTAGCACAGCAGAAATTAATAGACTATTTTGCTTTCAATTTACAGGAAACCACAGAGGATCAAAATTGGAATGCAGAAGGAAGGATGTGATCTAGCACCTGTCCTATCGCTGCAGCAAAAAAAAATTTTGATCGGCATGCCTACACATTTTGCTGCTACCTATTTATTTAGTGCTTTAGTGCTTTTCCCCCTACTACAATGAGTTACGTTCTGTCTGCCCCTCAAAATTAAACTAGCTGAGATCATTAAAATAGATTTTGATTATTTGGAAATGTTGTGCACAGCCATGTGGTGGATTTAATCTATATATATAGAACCTCATAGGCTAAGGCATACATTATTCTTATTTTGAAAATGGTTAGCTCAACAATTTCAGAACTTATCTATTCTTTTTTATATGAATGCTCATATTTTGCAAAGATGGAATATTATTGTTCTTTGAATGGTGTACGCCATTCAGAGAGGTAGGATTTTAATTACCTGAACTCACCATTCAAAGAAGAATATTTTTGTGGCAGCAACAATTTTGATTTAGGTGCCTTGTTTCGGCTGCCCAGGTGATGTCAAAAATATTTCATTAATTCTAATGCCCAAAAAATTAAGAATAACTGCCTACAAACTGAATCCTGCTCATGCATCCACATATTGGATTTTGCTGTCATGATTACCTCAAAAGAAAAGATGATGTCCTTATTTTCACACAATGTTTTAGGCTTCTAAAAGAGGTCATATCTGTGGATTGATTTATATCTTTCCCCATTATCCTTTTATGTTTTACCATTATCTGTGAATTGAAGGGATTTCTGGTGTCATTGGTTACAGCAGCATTGAGGGTGAGGCATGGCAATGGAGGCCCTTTAGCTCCCACAAGCATGCACGGTCTGGGAAAACAAACAACCAGGTAAAGAGCTCCCAGGCAGGAGGGCCAGAGTTTCCATGTTGTGTACCTTCTTATTCAACTCTTAGCTAAATTAGTTAACGGCCTCTAAACTTGATAGGAGTACATTATGCCATGTCTTTTCCATTTTCAGCAGATTCATGTTGAAGCTTACGACCCCATTCCCTTATTTGTAGTTACTTTGCAGCGACATAGAAATTGTGTTCCTGCTGGCCTACAGCGTACTGATTTTTCCCCTTCAATACTGTATTTTCTATTGCTTGAATTGCAGTCTATTTGTTTGTTCAAATACAGTAACTCGACCAGCTCTATCCATTACTTAGGATGGTTATAGCTAGCAGCTTGATACATTACTGTGTCTACAGATTGAAGCCTGCTCATGCATCCATGAATTACATTTTGCTGTCATGATTATCTCAAAAGAAAAGATGTCCATATATTTAGACAATATTTTAGGCTTCTAAAAGAGGTAATCCATTTTGTTTCTTCATGTAATCCCATTGTAACACATGGTGATATGGTAGTTCGTGCGATTAAGTTGTTCAAAGCCTTTTGAAAACATTTTTTTTCTGATAATCTGCTATTTCTCCTTTTTAATCGCTTTTGACTGACCCTCCTCCCTATAAAATATGTCGTTGGATATCACACCCCAGAATTGCAAATTTTGGGTTGTCCATAAAAAAAACATAATTTGTTTTAATAGTTTCATAAAACTTTTCAAGCTTAGTTTAGTTTAGCACAAATTAGTTGTAAAAAAATTGTGGACTTTCAAACTTTTCCGAACTAATATGACGGGCTTGTGCTTTCTTCTATCCCTACCACACTTTCTTCGTCCACGCGCGCAAGGGCGCACGCTTTCTACTAGTTATTAAACATGTTGCGGTTAACTGCCGGTTGCTGCAAAATCTTCCAAGCGAGTACTAACTACCAGGGCGAATAATTCCTGAGCTGGTGTGGTGGCGGAGCACAAGGCCGTGTCCGACCGAGCAGTGCAGTGGACGACGGGACGAGTTGAAGACTTTGAAGTTCTGTTGATACATGTTTCCTATTGAAACATATTCACAAGTTTGGGCACCCCACATGTCATCAACTCATCATGCTACATGCCAATACACCAAGTTCATTCCAAGTTCCAAGAGGGGGAAAGGAGCATGTTGGTTAAGGCTTCACCTACATGTTTCAGAAAAAGCGCACAGGCACAGCATATAAATATATAAAAGCCCTTCGTTCTTGCTAGCTTTAATTAGCTTTGACAATCATGAAAATCGACTTGTTCACATGTACACAGATAGCAATAGACATTCTAACTCATTTCAGCAAGCAATTTGTTTACAGTGAACATGTTAACATAGCAGCAGAATGCCACCACTATCACACTGAATCTGCACTTGGGAAATAGGAATCAGTCAGAATTAAAAAAATACAGCAGGCGCCATATCACCCGAATCAGTCAGAATTAAAAATACAGCAGGGGCCATATCACCCAGAGAAATAATAACAATTTGTTGACAGCTTCTAAATTTTGCAGCTACAGGATAACAATACCAAATATCCATTCCATGTATTTAACTCCAACTTCATTCTGCAAGGCAGCAACATCTTTCTGCTTCATTGAGAGCCATCAAGTCAATTAGTATCAGAATCACAGCAGCAGCAAGTGGACCTGTAAGCCTAAAACATTACCAAGGCAAATAAGTTCAACATATTATCCTCTTTGTAGCTTTATAACCAAGCACAGGCTTGCTGTTGACCCATAGGACTCCGAGGCGACAATCACAAGGGCACAAATCAGCCACCATGAAATCACATTTTCAAGGTACAAAACTGGGAAAACAGAAGGCTACAAATAAACGATAGGGCACATTACTTGCAAGTTGCAGGACAAATTATGATCCAATTGTTCAACAAAGTTTAAACAAAAGAATATGCATCTGACAACCTAGCATAATAAATTTGTTAACTTTTCCATTTCATAATCAGCTAATAATGTATGGATGGCAACTAAGTGGGACAAATGGTGGTAAACATTGGGACCTGCTCACCCCACAGCCACTGTTGTTGCCATCAGGGCAGCGTATTACTCCAAAACACATGACACTTCAACAAGCTGTGTTCAAGCAGGTAAACAGAACATATATAACCAGGATAATATGGAGGATGTACATTTCCCATTCTTAATGATCAGCTATAAACATGTATGGCTACTAGCTGACAAAGTGAAAAAATGGAGTAAATGTTGGGACGTCTTCATCCCACAGGCACAGCATAAAAGCCATAGGGGCAACTTAAAAGTCCCAAATATATGACATGTCAGGATAAACTTAAAGCCTAATGGACAAGTTAGAAGCAAAGGTGGTTAAATAAGCAATTTTGTGTTCCATCTTAAGAATCACAAAAACTGCAGCAAGCAAATGATCAGTACAGATTGAATCATGGCACATAAAACTATGTATGAAAATTTTCAATCCTTATCCTTAATGATTAGCGGAAAACATAATATCAGCTCACAGTGAATATGGTAGTACATCTCAGGGACCTGTTCATCCCACAGGCACTATGCAATTGCCAGTGGGGTAGACGTAAAGTCCCAAACATAAGTTCTACATTGTACCCAAAACTTCCACCTCGCTAATCCAAAATTGAGGATGGAGCTCAATACCATATTAATGCCAGCCGCTAAATCAACACTGGACCAAAGGTGGTTTATCATATGATCCTCATGACCACAAAACATGCATAATCATGTCAACTTGTCAAGCAAGGCCGAGTTGCTTTAGGGCCTGTTTAGATCCATAACTAATAGCTCAAAATGAACTACCTAGCTAATTAAAGGTTAGCTAAGTACCAGGCTAAACACCACTAACAATTAGACAGAGAATACAAACAGGACCAAACTAATAGATTAGCTAATAGCCTTACCAACAAAAAGCTATTAGCTGCTTTTCTATGCTAGCTAACAGACACCTGAATTGATTGATTGGCAGTGTAGCACCTAATATGAGCAAAGGCAGCCAAACATCATACATCATACATTGAGCAAATTCATCGTGATACACATGGCCACAAGTGCATTCTAAATGTTTAACCATGAGGATAACCATCAATGCAACAGTATGAATTAATTTCAGATGTGCAGAGGATTGCAACAGGTGGTAGAAGCTAATCTTATTAAGCAAGTGCAATAACTTTTGATGCTGGTAGACAAATTTAATGATATGCAGACGTTTACATCAGTAAAATCTTTATGCAAACGTAGCTTAACATCCACCATCTCACAGTAGTACAGCAGAACCCAACAAAGCAACCAGAACATAAGATTGACTCATTACGAACCAGAACATAAGATTCACTCATCGCGAACAAGGATCCAAAGGCACCCCCAATAACAGAGCCGACTAAAACGAACAAGGATCCAATCATCCAAGGCCACCCGCAATAACAGAATCGACTAAAACGAGGAAAAGTACAAGGCAAATATCACATCACTTTTGTCAATCACGCGAAGGTGATATAGAATCAGACCCCACTAATAAAACGATTAAGCACAAACAGAAGACAGAAGCCATTCAAGAGACAAAAAAATATTTTTAAATAAAAATACTTCTATTTTTTCGAAAAAGAACAAATCAAAGGAAAGCAGAACTGTTTTGGGGTGAACCCGCGCGGCCATCATCGCGCGCGCTCCGACCGCGGGTAGTCGTCATCGCTCGTCGCCGGCAGCAACCACGGGTGCCCGGGCCGCCTCTTTCCGACGTACCGCGCCACCAACCCACTAACCCTTGCAGGTCGGCGAGGGCAACACGGCCACGGGGAGGCGACTCCGGCCGCCGCGGCGCCGCCGGACGGCGCGCTCGGATAAGATCAAGTAGTGTTGGTGAGGGCCGAAACCCTAGCTTCTTCGTCCTCCCCCCTTGGCCTTTTATCAGAACGAAAACTTGGGCCTCACAAGTCACCAGTTTCCCTTCCAAGGCCCAACCCAACAAGTCCTCACCATATAATGGGCCCCCAAGAACTACACAGGCCCAGACACCATAAACTAAACCCTTCGGCCCCACATGTCATTCTCCGAGCGGCGGCGATCCCACAAAACCCTAACGCTTCTAATCCAAACTATAAAAGCGTTCCCCACCTTTCGCTCCCCCTAATCCGCCGCCACCTCCCCGAGCCGCCGCAGCCCTAGCGCGCCGCCGCTGCGAT